GGGGGGGGGGGGGGGCAGGACCCCCCTTACCCCCCCCCCTCCAAATCCGCCACTGCATATAATTACCCTCTTTGATGGTGGTAAAGTACTCAATATCATTGGCATCCTAATGATGAATCAGGCTGTCTGTTGGTCTACTGGTTGTTAACTAGCCATTGAAGTAGATCATTTACATCATATGTCAATTAGAGTGATCAAAGACATTATTGCATGCCCTCAGATAAATTAACAGCTTTCAGATTGGAACAGCTTTCATATTCAAATGCTTTGAAAAAGTTGTAAGATGGCTGTAAAAAATCTGTAACTCTCCATGAAGTCACCATTTTCATTATTAATTTTGGAAAAATTTTCAGGGATGTTGGTCCTGGTAAGAGAGCCGAGCAGACTATCTCGCTGACTCCAAAGACTGCAGGAAACAAGCAAGTCATTGTCAGCTTTGACTGCTACCAGCCATGTGACGTCACTGGAATGTTCCCTGTCACCGTCAAAGGATAGAAGATGCATGAACTGATGTCTTTTTCACTGCCAATATTACATTCAGACTGTAGATATACCACTGGAATTGACTCCAACTGGATGTAGTGTTAAAGTCCCTAGTCAAGCCTGTTTGCAATATGGTATCCATTAAAGATTCGCCAAGATATGGTAATGACTCGATCTTTTCAATGGGACAAAATTGTGAATTTCACAGATGCTGTATTTTTAAAGTCATAATTCCTTAAAATAAGAGCATTCCTATTGAGTGGTTGCAACAGGATTGAAAAGCAGCTAAACTTATAGTTTTATTCTATACATTAAAAGCACCACCAATGCTATACAAAAATATAATTTTTATGATTTTAAAATGATGTATCTGAAAGTTGGATAATTTTTGACTATTGAAAAGATCGAGGCATTACCGTAGATATAATGCAATGAGCTGTCATAGGTGGTTGTATTACATCATGTGCATCGTGACAAAAAATAAATAAATAAATAAATAAATGCACATTACAATCATTTAAGATAGTAATGAAATCTGAAAATACAATCCTATTTTCAATGAACATAATTATTATTACAACTGCATGATTACCGCATATATAGGGCATAGAATGAAGCAGCTGATCATTTAGATAGGGCTTTTATATTATATGACTTCTTTGGGAAGTTTTTCATGCTTCGGGCATAACCTTGCAATATACATATTTGCTACTTGTTGAATAATTGAGGAAAAAAGAAAAATGGCCTTTTTCAGCCTTAAATTTCTCATCTGAGCTATGGCTCTTTTTCTTTTGGATGAGGGATATTAAGACAGCACTGCCAAACTCACAATAATTCATTTCAAAACTCTGTTTACTCTACTCAGGATAAATGTCAACCCAATTAGAAACTTATCCAAAAACAGATGACTTTTTTCAATTAATTGGGATTTAAAACTATGTGCTTGTATGGAACCTGTTTAGTTCAGGTGAAAAAAAAATATTTTTTAGACTTGCTCATGCTTTAAGTTATATAATATTATGATAGGAACATAAGTTGAGTCAGGGTAAAAGACATGTTGTATACCTTCTCATAAATACTAGAAAATGAGCTGAGTGCCATATCTAGCAAAATGATATGAATATTGAACACAGCAGATGATTTGCATAGAAATATGAAATAATTATATTAGGCCAGTGGGTGCCAATTTTAGTCAGTTTTTATTACAGGATACAATTGGTATAGGGGTTTTGTCTGTATCATACCACTTTGTTTCACCACCATGTGGTGACCTCTGTGGACAGATATTGAAACTATAGATCCCTCTAGAATTAAAGGAATAAATGATAAATTTATGACAAGGTAAATGACAAGATATTAAAATGAAAAGACATGGCTGCATTTGATTGTGTTATTTTTTATGTGTTTCTTTCTCTAGATTTATAGTTCTAAATAACCCTGTATTTGGTAAACTTGGTATATTTGCAAGTGAATACAATTTTAAGAATAATTGTGAGGAGAAAAATTTAGGACCATGAATATGACTGCATACATATTCACATGACTGTAATATTATTTATTAAATGGTTATGGGTTTGATGCAAAAAAGAGAATGTAAATTTCAAGTTAAAAACTGCTGCCAAATTTCTTAATTTAACATGTGTCATGGACATTGTAACAAAACTATCAGTAGAAAGGTGCTTTTGCCTAAGTGAAATATACTAAAGCTTTATTTCATAGCCAGGACTTCTTAAGATCACCTTTCTGCTTATTTAAATATTTGTGCCAGAAGTTTTAGGGTGCAGAGGTTGCCACGTGCACACCAATGGCTGGAAGACATTTTTGATATAATCCATCACTGGAAATCCATTATTTCAATGTATCTAAATAAAGCCTGAACACAGATCTTCACCGGCTCCATATAATAACATCATCTTCAAGAAGTGAAAAAAGCCAACCCAAGGAGTTGTGGGTGGGATGGGGGGGGGGGGGGAGTAAACCTGGCAAGGCCATGTCTGGTGTAAAACATCAACAGTAGTCAGAGAGGTTCATGCGAAGACCCGTTCTGGAAGCGTTCGTTGTCTTTGGTAAAGAGCAGAACTTGCTCGGAAGCATCTCAAATTTCGATCGCGCGCCAAAAAGTGTGAACGATTACAATATGCGATTGCCACATCTATCCCCTGATATTTAGACGCCCTTGCAATCGAAACGCATTTCTCACGGTCTGACATTTGAACCAAAATACAACTGTCTGTTTGGCTAGATTTTCGCTCAAAATGTTAATTTCTTCATTTATTTATTTGAGAGTATCGCTCACCTCTGACAAGTTCTTAAAATGAAACTGAGCTTTGAATGAACAGCAACAACAACAAAATAACTGTCACTTTGACAGAGATATAATAAGATTTTTTAAGCATTTTCTATCTCTAATTTGTCAATTAAAAACTAATTATCTACCAACATCGTTTTAACGAATCACAATTTCATTCTAGGTATTTATTTATTTATTTCGTACACAAATAAGTCGTAGGAAAGATAAATTATTCTTAATTTACCCAGGGGAGGGGGGGGGGGAGTAACCCTTTCTTGAAAAAATGTTTTACCCATCTTCCCGTCAATGCTCTGCTACTCATATATGACCCTTCAGGTCCTTTTTTCTATGGCAGATACCAACCCAACCCCAACTCCTTTAAACCAAGTTTTGTGTTAGGCCCCATTCAGAACACCAGATTAACAAGTCCAAATATGTCGACATGCTAAAAAGCTTGCCGTCTAATCCACTAATAGGCACTGAATAGATTCCCCGCGTAGATTACGTAACAAGCATTCGAGCGGGTCGGCCATATTTGATCCACGGATTAGTTAGTCCGTTGTTCTGAATGCCGCCTTAAAGTGTTAATACCGATATCAATGCAAACCCCGAGTTAATGTAATGTACACCTTAATGCCATTTTTGATGCCAACCATATCTGAATGTAGGCCAACTTTCTACCAGGGCCGCAGAGAGATTTTTAGCTGGATATTCGCAGTTTTACCTCTGGTCAAGATTTTTTTACGTGTAATGACGTCATCACTGAGCTGATCTCTGGTACTGAGTATTAAGTTACCGACCAAGAATGCAGTCCTCAACTTGAAAGCGGACCAGTTGGTTCAAGCGTGGAACTTTCAGAGAAAATCAGCTTTAACAATTGAATCTCTCTAATTATTTTCATAATTATCATTATGCACAATTCCATACAAATAGCTCAAATGAAATGTACATGCGAATGACATTGAACAATGGCGCTTTAAGAGAAGTAGCGGTTTATAACTTTTAGATTGTGAAAGGTCTTCCGTAAAGAAATTATACATATCACTTACCGTAGACTGTTGTGTACTAGTGTGCAGAGCACCAACAAAGTGAACAGTGAAAATGAAATTTTTTCAAGCTCCAGTCGTGACGCCTGACAATAAAAGACCGTTCCCTTAACCCTATCGTACTAGCTGGATCGATCATACTCGGCGGGGATTCTCGCTAAATCCATTCAGTGTAGGCGGCTTAACAGTCTGGCACGCCTCTTCAAGCTGCTAGGAGATCATTAACGATAGTCAATTATCCCCCCCCCCCCCCCATTTACTCAAGGGGGGAGACAATTAAGGTGGTCACACTGAAAGCACTTTAGCCATAAGTCCCGCAGAGTAAGATGGATCCAGCTATAGCTAGTTGGATGGGTTTATGGGAACGCAGTCTTAGAGCTGCCTAGCTTTACCAGCAGTGTGGCGAAAGTCGGAGATGAAATGCAATTACTTTTCTTTTTGCCCGCATCATTAAAATAAAAAGAAGCCTCTTCAGCCATCTGTTGTCATCGACAGTATGAAGTATGACATAACCTATTTCAACCTACGGGGCGTATGTCAAATTGCAATTGGGAAAATTATTGGTTAAACTTTGCATTAAGCACACGTGGCAAACTCTGGAAACAGCTCAACTCCTCCTCTCTCTATTTCTCCCTACGTCTGCACCGTGACTTTTACGTCACAACAACGCACATAACAGCTTTTTAAAAAATGCAATGAATATGTAACGAAGCTCAGTAAGCGAGTGGCTCATTTCTTAAGAAACCAACGATTATCAAGTTCACGGCCTGAGTTAATTTCTTGAAATTGTTATTGCCATGTCGCTACGACAAGTGCTCCTGCTAGCTGCGACCATACTTCAAGTGGCCTCTGCCATTGAATTCAACGATCCGGCGTTACCAACCCCAGGATCTGGCATCCCAAATCCGCCGAACCCACCGGCTACATGTGCTGGTAAGTATATTTGCAGTAGATTACAAATATTTTGTGATTTTGTAGAAAGTGTATATACATATTCGACATAGGTATAATTGTGCAGTGTTAGCATGAACGTCGAGTGGTCTCAATGCATTTTATGCCACGCTGGTTGCCCCATCTCACAGCCATCTGGGCGCTCTCTTTATCATTCACTTCGTAATGCAATCTGAAGTTATTTGTTGACAACAACACTATAAACGACCGTCAGCGCGGCAAACTATAACCAGAGTACACACACACATATATATTTTTTGAACACGTTTATTAGTTTATGATCATAATGATTAGTATACACATATGGAGATGGCAAATCGCTAAAAACATTACATGCTCATCTAAGATAACTTTAAAATGTAACTAATTAACTAGTAATAAATGTATATTCGTTATAGAGAAAAAAATGTCGTATTATAATGATATTGGATAATACTTAAAAAAAATAGTTGGGCCTGGCACATCGGAGGACAGCTGTGGGAGGGAGTACAGAGTGGACGGGAATCAGAATGAGGGCGGTCGAGTGGCTAATTCATAAATGCACATTTTCAATTAGGAAATTAGCGACAATCACAAAAAATTCTGTCGTTTTGACAACAAGTAAGAGATTTGTGACCGCATAGGAAGAGGTTGATTTTATCCTGTTGCGTTCTAAAATTAGAGTAGTCATTACCCAGGATATTATCAATTGCCTTATATAGAAATTACGATAATTCGTCTGTTGGAGAGGGCAAC